ATACCTAAGTGGGCTAGAACTCACTGTCTCCTAGTGTTTGGCCCAGAATCACCCAGCTGGCTTTCATGGCTAAAGCGGGACTAGAACTCACTGTCTCCTGGTGATTGGCCCAAAATCACCCAGCTGGCTTTCATACCTAAGTGGGCTAGAACTCACTGTCTCCTAGTGTTTGGCCCAGAATCACCCAGCTGGCTCTCATGGCTAAAGCGGGACTAGAACTCACTGTCTCCTGGTGATTGGCCCAAAATCACCCAGCTGGCTTTCATACCTAAGTGGGCTAGAACTCACTGTCTCCTAGTGTTTGGCCCAGAATCACCCAGCTGGCTTTCATGGCTAAAGCGGGACTAGAACTCACTGTCTCCTAGTGATTGGCCCAAAATCATCCAGCTGGCTTTCATGGCTAAAGCGGGGACTAGAACTCACTGTCTCCTAGTGATTGGCCCAAAATCATCCAGCTGGCTTTCATGGCTAAAGCGGGGACTAGAACTCACTGTCTCCTAGTGATTGGCCCAAAATCACCCAACTGGCTTTCATGACTAAAGCACGACTAGAACTCACTGTCTCCTAGTGATTGGCCCAAAATCACACAGTTGGATTTCATGGATAAACCAGGGACTAGAACTCACTATCTCCTAGTGATTGGCCCAAAATCAGCCAGCTGTCTTTCATGGCTAAAGCAGGACTCATAGTCTTCCATTTTCTAGCCTGGTTCTTAATCAGTAATCCAAACTGACAAGTATAGATATGATCTAGCATCTTTTTTCCCACCACGTCCCCATGTCTTCATTTCATTCTCCTTCCTCAAATGTGATGGATTCAGTTCTTCTTAACAGGACCGGAATTAATGTTTTCACTTTATTCCGACATTTGATGTTTCATTTTTATCACTGGTAGGCACTGGGAACAATCGGAGGTAGAGTAGGAATGAGCATTGCAGACAACTAATTTGGCCGCGTAGTTTTCTAGCAACTCAAGAACGGGTAGAGAGCATCACAATTTGGAAGGGGAGGTTGGCAACTAGGATTCTCAGGCAAGAGTCATGCACGGAGTTAACTGCAGTATAACAGACCTTATCAGTTCCTTGGGATAATTGCAGAGCCATGAGCTCCCAGCTGAAATGCCTCAAATTAAGTTCATGCAAGCAGTCTCTGTGACACGAAACACAATCAGCAAAATCTTCAGAAATACGAACTGTTGTCTCCTACAACCACCACTCCCCTTTCCTTCTATTTATTCCCCAGCCAAGGAGGGGCCATTCAGCATCCAGGCGTGCTTTGCTTTCCAAGTCGACTCCTTGTCCTCCGTTGTTCACCTCTCCTATCTGCTCTGTGCATACGCACATCTGGAACAGGCCCCAGCTGTTCCTCCACCTCCTCATATCTCTGACTCCAAAGGCAGCTGCCTCTCCGGTGGCTAGGAAATGTTGGACGGCCCTGGCTCTAAGTGTCCGATACAGAGCATCAATCAGAGCCTTCCCCAAGCCCCAAAACTGACCCGTTCTTCCCCAACCTCCTCATTGTCTGAGTCTGCTGCCAGCTCTGCTGGCAGTTGGCAGGCCACAACACTATCATCCTTCTCCTGGCCAAAAGGAAAGGGAAAGGAAAGGGAATGAACATTTTGGAACTCCTTACTTTTACTGAAACCTACCTTAGATATTTTCAGATTCTTCCTTTTATCCCCACTTTTAAAACTTAAGTAATGAATGCCTTGCCTACTCAAAGCCTCCAGTTGAGTTTGATGGGATTTCATCTTAGGTTTCCTTTTTTCAGAGACCAATATAGCTTCACATGGACATCTGGGACCTGCCAAAGAACGTATGGCCCTCCACCTTCTCCGGACATGCGGTTTGGTCTCTGAACACGTAGAAACTCGCACCCTCTATGACCCAGCTCTACCTGGAATTGACCAGGTAAACCTTCATCTCAGATTTTTACACTGTATTTGTTAGCTGAGAGAAAGAAGAATCAGGCAGTCCAGCAAATCTATCGTTGTGGATATTATCTTGTGAATCTTGTACCTCTCTCCTATCCAGGGAAAATTGCAGATGTGGGTGGACATCTTCCCACTCTACTTGGGTGACCCAGGACCTTCTTTTGATATCACCCCACGGAAGCCCAAAACGTAGGTCCTGCCAATTTGTGTAAAGTCAATATACACAACAAAACTAAATGTCTACTGCCACCTCAAGCTTGCTTGTGCTTCGCTGATATGTGGTGACAATCTGCCACAAACTATGGAGAAAGGGGATGAAGGGGGGTGGAATGCTTGGAAAATCAAAAGTAGGTGCTGTGCCATCTCGAGAAGCTGCTTCAAGGTCACCCAGTTGGAAGAAGGAGGGAGCGGAATGCTGGAACTGACCATTAGGAACACAGTTTGAGGTGCAGGGTACCTTCTTTCATGCATGGTGGCCATGCCCGAAAGATAAAAAAAGGTTGGATTAAAATACAAAAATGGTTACAGGAAATTACAAACTCTCAAACACTCAAACTCTCAAACACTCAAACTCTCAAACACTCAAACTCTCAAACACTCAAAGCAGAATTGTTCCTTCTGGGGATTATTAAGGGAAATTATATGAAAGAGATAAAATATTTAAATTTGCACATAATTACAGCAGCAAGAATAGCCCTTACACAATGTTGGAAAAGTGATACCATGCCAACAGACTGTTTGATAATCCAAAAGATTCTTGATTGCACAAAGATGGATAAACTTACCTTAGAGTTAGCTTCCGCACTCCAGGGGAAGGATACTGCAAAATCCCCATTCCCTCCCCACTTCAGGGGAAGGATACTGCAAAATCCCCATTCCCTCCCCACTCTAGGGGAAGGATACTGTAAATTCTCCATTCCCTCCCTACGCCAAAGGAAGGATACTGCACAATCCCCATTCCCTCCCAATAAATTTCTGCTACCAGTTCTCCAGAACTGGTCAGAACCTGCTGAATACCACCTCTGTCCCACACCATTCAAAGGGTGTTCATCCCAAACTGTATAGATGTTTCGCTTTTCATTCAAGAAGCTTCTTTAGCTCTTGGCTTGATGGTAGGGAATGGAAGGATGAACCTCCAAGTGTCTTTAACAACCCTCTAAAAGAATGCAAATGACCAACTCTGTCTGCAAGGAGTATCAATCCTTCCATTCCCCACTGTCCTGTCAGAGCTCAAGAAGCTTCTTGGATGAGAAGCAAAACATCTTCAAAAGAAAAAACCAGAAAGTCCAGTTACCTCCTGAAAAAAGCACCTTTGGGAAGACCAGGGCCTGGATGACTGAAAATCTCCACAGACTTTTAGCCGATTCTATGTTCAAGGGATGCCCAAATGTAGCTGGCGCCCCCAAGAATTAGAGTGGGATAGTGGTGGCCTCGTTGAGCTAGGAATGGGAAGATCCAGGTTCAAGTTCACTCTCAACCATTCTAAAGTCATCTTCTTTTCTCTTCTTTCTAGATTTGAACTCCGCTGCATAATTTGGAACACAAAAGATGTGGATCTGGAAGATACCAATATCTTTGGAGACAAGATGAGTGACATCTACGTGAAAGGGTATGAGACAGGGGTGAAATCCAGCAAGTTCTGACAGGTTCTGGAGAACCGGCAGTGGAAATTTTGAGTAGTTCAGAGAATTGGCAAATGCCACCCATGGCTGGCCCCAGATGGAGAACCCAGTTACATCATGAACCTTCATGAAATCCAATCCCCACTTTTGGGTTGACTGAAAATATTTCTGAAAATATTTCCTTTGTTTTGGTTCCAGATGGCTGGACGGCCAGGAAGAAGACAAGCAAAGAACTGATGTCCACTATAGGTCCTTGGCAGGAGAAGGCAACTTCAACTGGCGATTCATATTCACGCTGGATTATTTGCCTATGGAGCAAGTTTGTGTCCTCACTAAAAAGGTGGGGCATAAGTTGGCTTTTAGTTCTCTTTCTCTTCCCTGCCCTCTCCCTCCCTCTCTCTCTCTCCTTCTTTTTCCTTCCTTCTTTTCCTCTCCCTCCCTTTCTCTCTCCCTCTCTTTCTCTTTTTCTCTCTTTCCTCTCTCCTTCTCTCTCCCTCCCTCTTTCCCTCTCCCTCCCTCTCTCCTCCTTTCTCTCCCTCTCTCTTTCTCTCTGCCTCTCCCTCCCTCCCACTCCATCTCTCTCCCTCTTTTTCTCTTTCTCTCCTCCTCTCTCTCCCTCCCACCCTCTCTATCCCTCTCTTTCTCTTTCCCTCTCCCCCTCTTTTTCTCTTTCTCCCTTTGTCTGTTTTTCCCTCTCCCTCTTTCCCTCTCCCTCCCTCCCTCCCCCTGTGTGTGTGTGTGTAATCTCATTTGCCCTTTGTAATGCCCTTCAGGAGACTGAAATCCAACTCTTTGAAGAACTAGATTGGTTAAGACACCAGGCTAGAAAGATCATGAGTTCAAGTCCCACCTTAGCCATGTCATTCAGCTGGATGACTTTGGGTCAGTCTCTCTCCCTCTTTCTCTCCCTCCCTCCCTCTCTCTCTCCCTCCCTCCCTTTCTTCGTCTCTCTCCCTCCCTCTCTCTCTCTCCTCTCCCTCCCCCTCTCCTCTCTCGCTCCCCAACCCACCTCACAGGATTATTGTTGTGGGGGGAAAGTAAGAGGAGGAAGGTATGTGCTGGATATGCACACCACCTTGATCTATTTGTAAAACTAGCACAGGTGGGATGCAAATAAATAAGGTAGAAACTTGAAGATGACACCAGAAACAAGGTTTGGAGGGGGTCCTTGGTGCTGTTAGAATTACGTTCCATTTTCCAAAGTCCTGCCAGACCGTTTTGACTCCTAGGGATTGTATGGAGAAGCCCCTGACTTCTTTCACTGTTATTATTTTTAAAATTTCCCAGTTTCACTTTCAGCTGGGAAATTTCCGGTGATCTTGATCCAAGCATTAGCCATCCTCTTCCAAGCCCAAAGATGGTGAAATGCTGCCACCTTCTGAGACAGACCAGGGACCTGTGCAATGATGTACTTTCTAGACTTTTCCTAAGCAGCAAGAGTACACAGAGTCCTCAGTTTACCACAGTTCATTTAGTGACCGTTCAAAGTTACAACAGCACTGAAAAATGAGACTTAAGATGGCTTTTCCCAGTTACGGCCTTTGCAACATTCCCATGATTACGTGATCAAAATTCAAACGCTGGACAACGGGTTCGAATTTATGACCATTGTTAGGTCCCGTTATCCCCTTTTGTGATCTTGGGGAAGCCAGGTCAATACACCTGTTAACAGCTTAGTTTTCCCCAATGGATGTTTTCTTCCTGGGAACCAGAAGTAAATGCCAGAAGCTGGCAAAAAAAAAAATCAGAAATCACAGTCATGGGACCTCAGGATGGTTCAAAGAGCTGTAAAGGTGAGCCAATTGCCAAGTGCCCAAAAAGAGAATCACAGGTCTGCATGGGGAAAGGAGGAGGAAGGATGGAGGAAGAGAAGGAGGGATGAGGGAGGGAAGGAAGCAAGGAAGGAAAAGAAAGAAGAAAGAGAGGAAAGAAAGAAAGAAAGAAAAAGCAGGAGAGAGGGAGGAAAAAAAAGAAAAGAGAGAGAAAGCATGAGAGAGGAATTAAGGAAGGAAGGAAAAAAGAAGGAAGAGAAAGAAAAATAGAGAGGAAGAAGGGAGGGAGGAAAACAAAGAAAAGAGAGAGAGAAAGAGCGAGAGAGGAATTAAGGAAGGAAGGAAGAGAAAGGAAGAAAGAGAGAGAGAGGGAGGGAGGGAGGAAAGGCAAACAGGAGAGAAGGAATAAAAGAAAGAAAAAAGAAAGAAANTAGAATAGAATAGAATAGAATAGAATAGAATAGAATAGAATTATTTATTGGCCAAGTGTGGTTGGACACAGAAGGAATTTGTCTTTGGTGCAGATGCTCTCAGTGTACATAAAAAGAAAAGATACATTTGTCAAGAATCATAAGGTGCAACACTTAGTGATAGTCATAGGTTATTAATAAGCAATCAAATTACGTATACTAGGAAACAAAGGAAACAATATAAATTTTAAAGATACAAGCAACATGGTTAGTGTCATAAGTGGAAAGAGATAGGTACTAGGAAGGAGGAGAATAATAATGGTAAGAAAGTCTTGGCAGATAATTTGATAGTGTTGTGGGGATTAGTTGTTTAACAGAGTGATGGCATGGGGAAAAAACTATCCTTGTGTCTAGTTGTTCTGGTGTGCAGTGCCCAATAGAGTCATTCTCAGGGTAGAAGTTGAAACAATTTATGTCCAGGACGCGAGGGGTCTGTAGTTATTTTCACAGCCCTCTTTTTGACTCGTGCAGTATAAAGGTCCTCAATGGATGAAATCCACTTCATCAATCCTGTTAGATATTACTCATTCCTCTTATATAACACCTTTTTAAACAGAGTCTATCTATAGGGGCAGATATATTCTTAAAATTAACTTCTGGGTCCATGGTTCAAAATATCCTTTCAATATGTTTAATATTAAAATATTTTGCTTCCTTCTGTAATTCTAAGTCAAGTTTAAGTGTCTTTCTCCTTTAATTGTTAAAAATTAAAATGAACAAAGACCCATCCTTACAAGAGTTCTAAGTTTCTGCTTCCATGAACAAAACATTCAAAGGTTTGGTCCAACCTTCTCTAACCAGGCAACATTTAAGACTATTGATATCAAATTATATTTGGGTTTGTGGAAATACTATCCCAAAGAAACATAAACTGAGATTTGAAAGAGACACCTACAACGACAGAAAAAGAATGGGAGAGAGGGGGAAAGAATGAGAAGAAGAGGGGGGAAGGAAGGAAGGAAGAGGGAAGGAGAGGAGGGTGGAAGGGAGAGAAAGAGAAGGAGAGAGGGTAGGAAGGGAGAGGGGAAGAGTAGGACCAGGGGAGAGGTAAGGGAAGAAGGAAGGGGAAGAAGAGGAGGGAAGGAAGAGGGTAGGAGAGGAGGGTGGAAGGGAGAGAAAGAGAAGGAGAGAGGGTAGGAAGGGAGAGGGGAAGAGAGGAGTTGGGGAGAGGTAAGGGAAGAAGGAAGGGGAAGAAGAGGAGGGAAGGAAGAAAGAAGGAAGGAGAGGAGGGTGGAAAGGAGAGAAACAGAAGGAGAGAGGGTAGGAAGAGGAGGAGTAGGGGAGAGGTAAGGGAAGAAGGAAGGGGAAGGAGAGGAGGAAGGAAGAAAGTAGAGAAGGGAGGAAGGGAGAAAAAAAAGAAAGCAAGGTGGTTTTACAACAGGAGGAAGGGATGGTAAATAAAGCAACCCAAACTGTATATTGTAACGTATTAAATGAAATAACAAAGGTATAAGAATGTCAAATGTAAAGAATAACAATTATGTGAATGTATACTTAAAATGGTATGTAAGAGAATTTTAAAAAATTAAAATGGGGGGGAGACTATTGGGGTCACAGCTCCCCAAATCCCTAGAAGCCTATTCTTGCAATCAATTCTGCGAGGGAAGATACCAGAATGGGTAGGAGTGGTGCACTTATATTTTCTTCTTCTTCTTTTTTGGTGGTCTTCCAAGAATCTATGAACTCACATGTACCATCCCATTAGAAAAGGACCTGAAGATCTCATTATTTGATTTTGACCTCTTTTCACCTGATGACATAGTTGGGGACACCACCATAGACTTGGAGGATCGGCTCATGTCTCATTACGGGGCCAACTGTGGGCTGCCACAAACTTACTGTGTGTAAGTACTAAGGCTATATTCCCGAGTAATTCCATCTTTCTCATCCTAGCAGCTTCCAGATGTTTGGGGAGTTATCTCCCAGAAATTCCCAGGAACATCTTCCCAACTTTAGAAGTTTAGGTTGCTTTCACCTACCATAGGTAGGAACTGGAAACCTCTAGTCCAGTGAAGCACAGACACGGGCAGGCGGCACCAGGTGCCAAAAAGGTAGCACTTTGCGCGCAAGTCTCTTATGGGCCGCAACCAGGAAGAGCAGTTGCCCAGGGAGCATGCATGCGCTGGAAAATGAATGGTTTCCACACATGTGCATCATCCAGCAAATCTTCTGGTTACTGCCAGGCATGCGCATGCACCAATCAGCTGGCTGACGTGTGTGCTCACGCCCGGAAAATGGAAGACCGGCTCTTGCAGTTTCCCGCACTGCTGCAGGCAGAAAGGCCAGCTGATTCTTGTGCACGCATATGTGCCAGAAAACCGTAAAAGGAATAGGTGATGCCACATTTGCCAGGCGACATGGCTCTGCATGCCACTTGGGGCACATGTGCCATAGGTTCACCATCACAGGTCTAGTCTAACAAAAAAGAAGGACTAGGGATGACATGAAGGCAGTCTTCCAATATTTGAGGGGCTGCCACAGAGAAGAGGGGGTCAACCTATTCTCCAAAACACCTGAAGGCAGGAGAAGAAGTTACAGATAGAAACTTAACAAAGCGAGTTCCAACCTAGAACTAAGGAGACATTTCCAGAGAGTGAGAACAATCAACCAGTGGAACAGTTTGCCTCCAGAAGTTGTGGATGCTCCATCACTGGAGGTTTTCAAGAAGAGATTGAACAGCCGTTGGTCTGGAAGGGAATAGGGCCTCCTGCTTGAGCAGTGGGTTAGATAAAGACTTCCCTTGCATCTCAGTTGTCCTCTACTGAAGTGATAGTTTCAAGAAAAAGCACCATCTTTCTGAAAATTCTATCTAAAAACATTGTTTGATCCAGTGGTGAAATTCAATTTTTTTTACTACCAGTTCTGTGGGTGTGGCTTGGTGGGGCAGGGGNTGCCACAAAGAAGAGGGAGTCAAACTATTCTCCAAACCACCTGAAGGGAGGAAAAGAAGCAATGGGTGGAAACTAATCAAGGAGAGAAGCAACTTAGAACTGAGGAGAAATTTCCTGACAGGGAGAACAATTAATTAGTGGAACATGTTGCCTCCAGAAGTTGCCTCTGAGAGAGAGCGCTCTGGGGAAAGAAGGGATGAAATGAATAGATGTGGCAGACAACTATTTATCTTCCAGATGGACAGACTTGTTAGCCTGACGTGAAAGAGAAACTTTACCGGGGCTGCTGGCGCTCCAAATAAAGGAATCTTTGAGTTCACATTAGAGTGTTTGTGATGTTTGGGATCTGGATCAGAACAGGACCACAGAACATGGAAGGGTTGGAAGGGGCCTTGGAGGACTTCTGGTCCAACCACCTGCCCAAGGCAGAATGTGAATTCCTAAAGTTGACAGTGAGGAAAGAGGGGGGGGAGCACATACGATGTATACTTTCGGGTAGTCGGATCTCAGATTATCACAGCAGACTTGGGAGAGGTGCACCTCATTGGGGAATGTGATGCCCCAATAAGACTGAGGGGAGGAAAGGAACGGGTAAAGTTCGGCTACATTTAAAATAAGGCTAAAATCTGACTGCACAAAACAGGCATTGCCAAAATGCTCCTAATAAATGACTGGTTTCTCTTTTGAAATTTGGCTCAAGATTCAATGAATCAATTAGGGCATTTAATGGAAACTTGACACATGAGACCTTATATTTTCATTCCTACTGTAGGCAATCTGGAAATGAACTTAACCAGCATCCCACGACCTGCCAAGCGGCCTCGGGATTGCAGTTTGAAAGTCCTGCAGGACGATAGCGGGAAGGCCAGCTCGTCCACTCCTTTTCGCCGACGGAAACAAAAATGCATTTCCCTCTTCACCCAAAGGAATATGAGAGGCTGGTGGCCCTGCATCGTCATTGAGAAAGACAAGCCGCGAGTGTCCGTAAGTCAGGAAGAGATTGAGGATGGGGGGGGGGTGTCTTACTGTAGTAGGATATCTTTAAAACATCCAATTATAGGTAGTTATCAACTTACAACAGTTCATTTAGTGACTGTCTGAGGGAGGGAGTCAGATCAAGAAGCAATGGGTGGAAACTAATCAAGGAGAGAAGCATCTTAGAACTGAGGAGAATTTTCCTGACAGTTAGAACAATTAATCAGTGGAACAGCCTGCCACCGGAAGTTGTGAATGCGCCAACTCTGGAAGTTTTTAAGAAGATGTTGGACAACCACTTGTCTGAAATGGTGTAGACTTTCCTGCTTAAATGGGGTTGGAGTAGAAGACCTCCAAGGTCCCTCCCAACTCTGTTATTCTATTTTCAAGCCCACCCAGAATGATGTTTTACCCCAACTTATGTTCTTGTGTTTCTCTGGCTTCCTAGGGTAAGATTGAAATGTCTCTGGAGTTGCTGACCGATCTGGAGGCCGACGAGTTTCCAGCTGGGAGAGGAAGGGAAGAACCCAATGCAAACCCCTTTCTGAAGCCACCAGAGTAAGATCATAACACGGGGGTCCTCTGATATAAAGCCTCGCGGAGGGCTGGCTGTCCTCAGAATTGTGACGCCTCTCATCTTGAGACAGTATGGAAGGAAGCTGTAAGCCTCACGCCACCGGTCATAGGGACTGGCAGATTTTGAGGCAGGAAAGAGGTGCTTTTTCAAAGGGCAACTGGACTTACTTGATTGTTTTTTTCCCCTTTGAAAACATTTTGCTTCTCATCCAAGAAGCTTCTTTAGTTCTCTTTCTTGGGTGAAGTTGGCCCTGATTTCTTGGTAGTTGGGGAACCTAACTACCGAAAGGTTTTCAAGAAAAAAATCCAGTTAGCAATAGCACTTAGACTTATATGTCGCTTTACAACCCATCTACATGGTTTACAATGTCAGCCTCTAGTCTGAGTCAACCTTGAGCCAATTAGGATCGAACTCCTGGCTGTGGGCAGAGTCAGCCTGCAATGCTGCATTCTTTTTTATTATTATTATTATTATTTTTAAAAAGTTTTTTTATTTTTCTCTTTCAAATTCATTCACAAATATACACTCTTATAATTACTATTAACATTTATCTATTCATCATTAATCTTTATTGTTATTTTTTTACAAATATATAGAATACAGTTTGGGTCACTTTCTTGCCACCCCATGCTTCCATCTTATTTTGCAACAACCTTGCTCCTTCCATTTTCTCAACCTCCCTTCTCTGCCTTCTTCTTTCCTCCTCTCCTTCCTCCTTTCTTCTGCATTCTAACCACTGTGGCACTAGGAAAGAGAAAGGGAATGAGGAAGGAAGGAAGGAAGGAAGGCGGGCAACAGCACTTAGACTTATATACAGCTTCACAGTGCTTTTATAGCCCTCTCTAAGCAGTTTACAGAGTCAGCCTATAGCCCCCAACAATCAGAGTCCTAATTTGACCCATCTTGGAAGAATGGAAGGAGGATCAAACTCCTGGTTGTGGGCAGAGTTAGCCTGCACTACTGCACTCTAACCACTGCGCCACCGTTACCTTTTGGGATTGCACCTTAGGGGCAACCATGACCTGGATGATTGAGAATCTCAACAGACAGGAAGGAGGGTGCAAATTAAGCCATCTTTATCCTAATTAGTTACCTGACCCGGTCTAGGGGTTAAAAGACTCTGGAAAATGTATCCTCAGAGAAACCACAATCTTTGGCAGAAGTCTGGTAGATGCAATGGGCAATGTATGTTTCTCCCAATGCCCCAGTGACCCCATTGTGGACTCCTGCAACTCTAGAGTCTGGGATGAAACATAAATTAATGGCAAGGGATCAAAAAAGCCAAGTTTTCTTCTCCCTGGTCTTCATCTGATGGTTGAGCATAAGCAATGAAGGGTGAATGGAGCTAAGATGAAAAAAGAGCAACCAGGATGATTAGGAGACAGGAGGCTAAAACCTACAATGGACGGTTGCAGGAACTGGGCATGGCTAGTCTAGTGAAGATAAGGAGAGCATCTTCCAATATTTGAGGGGCTGCCACAGAGAGGGCGGGGTGCCAAGCTATTTCCCAAAGCACCCAAAGGCCAAACAAGGAACAATGGATGGCAACTGATCAAGGAGAGATTCAACCTGGAAATAAGGAGGAATTTTCTGACAGTGAGAACGATCAACCCATGGAACAAAAGTTGCCTTTGGAAGTTATGGGAGCTTCGTCACTGGAGGCTTTCAAGAAGAGATTTGACTGCCTTCTGTCAGAGATGGTGTAGGGTTTCCTGGGGTGGGAGTTTGGACTAGATGACCTACGAGGTCCCTTCCAACTCTGTTAATCTATTCATCTGAATACAGCTGCTGTCTTGCCACCTCTTCTTTCTTCCTTCTTCTCCCCCAAACTAGGAGGCCGGAGACCTCTTTCCTATGGTTCACAGCCCCCTTAAAGAGCATTCATTTTATTGTATGGCAGAAGAGTAAATGGAAGATCCTAATTTTTATCTGCATCCTGCTGGTGATCTGGCTGTTCATCGATTTCATCTACTCAGCGCCAGTAAGTTTTCTGAGGGGAAAAAATGTGAAAATGTAACCTTGAAGGGGAATCATGCACTATAAGTAGTAGGGGAGGGGCTCTTTCAGTCATATGGGGAGGGGGAGGGAGCAGAGCTGGTATTCAGCAGGTTCTGACCAGTTCTGGAGAACCGGGAGTGAAAATTTTGAGTAGTTCAGAGAACCAGAAAATACCACCTCTGGCTGGCCCTGCCCCCATCTATTCTCTGCCTCCCGAGTTTCCAGCTGATGGGTAGGAAATGGGGTGTTTGCAGTAACCTTCCCCTGGAGCAGGGAGGGAATGAAGATCTTACAGTATCCTTCCCCTGGAATGGGAATTTTGCAGTATCCTTCCCCTGCCATGTCTACCAAGCCACGCCCACAGAACCAGTAGTAAAACTTTTTTAATCCCACCACTGGGAGGGAGGGAGGGAGGAAGGAGGGAGGGAGATTATAAAGTTTAGCTTTCATTGGTTTCATCCATCTTCTAACTTTCTTTACTCAGGGTTATCTTGCCATGAAGTTGGTCAATCCAATGAAATTACATGGTCCATCTTGGCCCAAGCAGTCTCTGAAGAATAATATTAACACAAGCGTTCAAATAGCATGGACAACCTCAGAAATAATGCATACAATTTCAACAGTGTCATTGCCACCAGCATCTTCCAAGAAAGGACCACCAGGAACTCCCAGGAAAGGACCACCAGGAGCTCCCAAGAAAGGACCACCAGGAGCTCCCAAGAAAGGGCCACCAGGAGCTCCCAAGAAAGGACCACCAGGAGCTCCCAAGAAAGGACCACCAGGAGCTTCCAAGAAAGGGCCACCAAGAGCTTCCAAGAAAGGACCACCAGGAGCTTCTAAGAAAGGACCACCAGGAGCTCCCAAGAAAGNCCAAGAAAGGACCACCAGGAGCTCCCAAGAAAGGGCCACCAGGAGCTCCCAAGAAAGGACCACCAGGAGCTCCCAAGAAAGGACCACCAGGAGCTTCCAAGAAAGGGCCACCAAGAGCTTCCAAGAAAGGACCACCAGGAGCTTCTAAGAAAGGACCACCAGGAGCTCCCAAGAAAGGACCACCAGGAGCTGTCAAGAAAAAGCCTCCAGCAGTTCCCCAAAAAGTGCCAACGACATCTCTCAAGAAAACATCATCAGCAACTAAACTTCCAACAACCATGTTGAAGAAAGTATCGACAACATCTCTGAAGAAAGGTCCACCAACACCACTGAAGAAAGTGCCAACAACTCTGAAGAAAGTAAAACCAACGACTCTGAAGAAAGTGAAGCCAACAACTCTGAAGAAAGTGCCACCATCGACTCTGAAGAAAGTGTCACCCACCGCCTCAAAGAAGCCATTTGCTAAGAAAACACCAAAAGCAGCTGTCCCAAAGCCACCACAACCAACTACCAAGAAATTAGGGCCAACTTCTCCCAAGAAAAACCCAGCTTCCCCCCCCAAAGAATTCCAACTCCTAAAAATAGATTGATAACACCAAAAACTCCCCCAAAATAATAGTCTCTCCCCCCCCCCACCCAAAAAAAGTCCTTGTAGGATACCACCAACTGCTAAGACTCTGGTATAGTTAAGTGACATTTTTTTGCTACCCAACAGAAGCCCTGCCCTGTTCCCCCGGGTTTGCTGGAACATCATCCCAAAAATACACCAGATGGAAGAGGAAAATATGCAATCGCAACAATAGAAAGGGGAAAGGAAGAGAGGAAAGGAGAGGGAAAGAAGAAAGAGGAAAGGAGAGGAAAGGAGGACAGGGAGGCGAAGTCAGAGTAGGAGAGAGGGTAGGAAGGGGAAGAAGAGGAGAGGAAGGGGATGGAGAAAAAAGGAAGGAGAGGAAGAAAGAACAAAGTAGAGAAGACAGAAGGGAGGGAGAAAAGGAAAGAAAAACAGGGTTGTGATAAAATAGGTGTATGGGATGGTAAGCAAAGCAATCCCGATTAAATAGTTCAACTTTTATATGGAAAAATAAATATTTAAAATTGTTAATACACAATGTTAATAATAACCATGAGAATATATATTGGCAAATGTATGTATGAGATTAAAAATACAAAAAAAAAAACTTTTTGGGTAAAAAAAAGAAGTCCTACCCTGTTCTACATAGTCGATCGGAAAAGTGCTGCACCAAAGGGTCATTCTTGCTTCGGCTTCCCTGGTGCCTTCAAAGAGCCTCAAGGAGTAGAAACATCTTAAATTCGTCTTCTATGAATTTGGTACCATCCTGCTAACTCTTTCACTGTCGTGCTGATGTTCCTCAGAGTTCAAAGCCAGATCCTGAAATACTTGCAGGGGGAGGAAGGAAGAAGACATATGTGGGGTCAAGCCTATCCATTGGCATCCTTCAATCTCAAAAGATGATGGTATCATGCAGTGGTGGGTTGCTCTTACCTTCACTACTGGTATGCTGCTCGTGGTCCGTTCATGCACGCTCTCTGCACGCTGCACACACATGCGCACTCTACCGCCCCTGTGATACCCAGCTGCTTGTTGGGGATCGCACACTGTGCGTGCGTGCACAATTGCCCGAATGCTTCATAAACAGCTATGGAACGCGGGCGGGTGGGCCAAATGAGTCACCGTACCGGTATGGTGGCTGCTGCTCCCGGCTACTACTGGTACAGCCGTACCGGGCCATACCATCTGGAACCCACCCCTGGTATTGTGCTCTGGAAAGAGGTCAAAGCTGGAGTGTCCTCTCCAGCATGAGGCCTGGGTAGATTAATATGGAGAATAGACTGTTACCCAAGCAGCAGATCCCACCTCTCCACATTGCTGAAATAGTCCAATGGAACCGCAGAGCCGATACGACGGGTTCCAGTTGCGTCACAGGAGTTACCACAACAGGGTTGTACGCAGTTACGAACTGCTTCCAGGACTCCAATTCCAGATTTTGCCTCGAGTTTGACTCCTGAAGCCTTTTCCAGTAGTGGATTTAGCCCCAAGGCAGTAGAGGTTTGTAATCAGAGTTTCCCCTCTCCTAGAAGATGGTTTTGCTGCTTTATCTGCCATTGGAGCGTAGAGCCCTCTTCCGCCTTCAAAACCATTGACTGTCTGCTCCTGTAACCCTGGAAAGGGGCCCTTACGAGGTGCTCCCAGCCAGGCCAGCTGGACCAAGGTTTTTTAAGGAGGTGTTACTCCTCCATCATTCACCCTTTGTCCTGGCTTATGACAGGCAGAGCCTGGCTTTCCAAACGTTGGGCCCAGGATGGGATCAAGTAGGATTTCTGGAAAAGGTAGCTTTCTGAACTCTGTCCTAATATCTCCAAGAGGGGGAAAAGGCTCCTCCTCCAAATGAAATATACTGTATTTTTCAGAGTATAAGACGCTCTGGAGTATAAGTCGCACCTAGCTTTTGGGAAAGAAAACAAGGGGGGAATCTTCTTCTGCCTCCCAGCAATTTGCCTCCTTGCAACAAACAGCAAACAGTACAGACAATATACACTGTTTGTAGTGTTACATTTCAGACGATATTTGTACAGATGCTGTTAAAATTGATGTGGCTTTCTGGAAGTATAGGATTTTAGCTCCCTTCAAATGGGGAGGGAATGGATCCCACCCCTGGAAGGGACCCTGGAAGTTTTCTTGTCCAACCCACTGCTCAAACAGGAGACCTTATACCATTCTGGACAAACAGAACTTTCTTTTATATA